GCTGATTAAAAGGTGCTGAGTAGTTTTCATTCAAGCATGAATTCTTGAAACAACTGCTTCGATGGTCATGTACACTTTTTCTATAGTTAAAATATTGGACTGTCTCAGGTAAATTCAAGAGCAATGTTTTAAGTACGATAATTATATGCCTCATAAAATTCTGTATGGAAAAAAAAAATAGACAGTTTTCGGCCCTAACGGGCCTCAAACTCAAACCAATTTAATCTACTTTCTTCTAGCCTACGTATATATACAACTCGTTCGAAGAAAGAATGTATTTATCCACATAAATATTTTGTTTGTCTGAATGAAGAACTAGCTTGTCGGTTATTGTCAGACCAAATGTCTTATTCGCCCGAACATTTGTAATTCTCTTCTGGGCTTTAACGCAACATACTATTTCATGATTGCAACTTACAAATTAAGATCAAAGCAGACCTCGCAATGCAATATGTTTTAACACAATTTAAAGCTTTGGGAAACCTTAACACAGCTGCGTTTCAATGTTACATTGTTTTAGAGGCATATTTTGGGAATCTTGTCGTTGATGTATCTTGAGGCCTTGGAGTAAGTGAACCAAAATGTAGGTGACGGTGAACTACTAATAAAAACTTCATGGACATATTTGAATATCTCAGATTCCATTTGACTAGAATCATCAAACTTTGTCAGTTGATGCATCTTAGGTTTTCGGAGTATGTTAACCAAATAGTAAGTCACGGTGATCTAATTTTTGAATTTACGGTCATATCGTAATACTTTATATAAGATGACACTTAGAGTCTTCACACTTTATCACTTGATGCATCTTTAGTCTTCGGAGAGTGTAAACCTAAAAATAAGTCACCGTGACCTTTCATTGGAATTTCACGGCTATATTTACATTTTTTAAATACTAATTGGCCTACAATCACCAATATTTTTCAGTTCTTGCATCTTGCATTTTGGAGTATTTTAACCAAAATATAGGTCACAGTAACCTAAGTTTGGAATATCACGGCCATATCTTTTTTATTTTTTTTGGTTAAGAAAAGGTCAACTAAAGTAGGTCACGATGAACTTCTTTTGGAATTTCATGGGTATATTTTTAAATATTTCAGATAATAATTGACCTAGAATCATCAATCTTTGTCACTAGAAGGATCTTTGCTCCTCAGACTGTGTCGACCAAGAAGTACGTCACTGTGACCTAGTTTTAGAATATCGTGGGTATATTTATATATTTGAGATACTTACTGGCTTAGATTCATCAAAATTTGTCAGTTGATTCATTTTGGATTCTCAGAGTATGTTAAAGAAAAAGTAGATCACGGTGACCTACCTTTGGAATTTCAAGGCTTTATCTAAATATTTTGTAGACTAGGAGGCTTAGATTGGAAGTGATAAGGTTGTACAATCTATCATGATCAGAAGATAGATTCTAGGCCTATGGGCCTCTTGTTTAGAGACCTAAGTCGATAAAAAATGGGTAGCAACTGTTCCTTCCCAAGTAGGACTGGGACGATACAACATTTTCTATACCGATACGTATCACGATATTTAAGCACGATACGATATGTATCACGATATGTTGAATTAGTTATAATTTTTTTTGTATTGAAATGAACAAAACATTTCTTCACAAGAAAGAACAATTTATTCAAAGAAATCGTATATCTGTTGTAAAACAAAATTATTTTTACACAAGTGGGTTTATTATAATGTATTTCATATTTATATTTTGCTTATCTATTTTATAAACCTAACCCAAAATGTGAAGTAAACAAAGAAAAAACATAAGTCAAAACATAAGTTTTTTGGTGCAATATTTCGATATTTCTTCATACGTATCGATATGCGTATCAACCTCACATTGAGTCAATATTATCGATATCTCGATATATTGTCCCAGCCTTATTCCCAAGCGCTCGACGTTTTGAAGTGAATGTTGCAGGTCCTTCGGATGAGACCTTAAAAACCGACGTCCCGTGCCACGGTAGGCGTTAGCACGATAAAGAACCCTCACTGCTCAATGGCCCTGAGTGCCGAGTAAAGGTCTAAATTTGAAGCCCTTCACCAGTATATGGTGACATCTCTATATGGCTGAAAAATTCTTGACGTAAAAACATACAATCAACCGAAATTAGCCTGATACTTTCTATATTAAATGAAATAATTATGCTTCTTCACATCGTACAGCTGATTTTAATTTAACTTTATTTTCATTAAATGTATCCTCTATCCATCTTATCTAACCGTTGCACAAAATCAAAGCCTTTCCTTCTTTCTCTGAATAGGTTCATTGGTTAGTTAAGTTAAGATGGATCTTACTATTCCACTTTTTTGGCTTGTGATTTTTGCATCGTCAACATAACAAGTATTGTATTTAACTACATTTAAGAAATGAAGCTTATTTATGATGAAAAGCAGATGCTTACCAATGGGCGTCTTGTAGTTCATTTTGTAATTTTAATGGCAAGTTTAAATTTTACTAAAAATGTAAATACACTGAATCATTTTATTTCTATAAAAAATGGTGTTACAAGAAAAGGGATGCCCTGGGGGGTCGCTGTTTTTGCCCTGCATGCGATTTGACTTCCCGTTGATTGACTACTTTGACATAGTACTTTAGTTTATACGGTCTTATCCGAAGAACAGGTCTACACGTCCTGCAGTGGGATTGGAACCCGAGACTGTAAGGATCGCCTCCTTTATTCGCGACCTTAGAGCAAACGCTCTACCACTGCGCCACGCAGGCGACACTCGTACTACAGAAATAAGTTATGTGAGAGAGAGAGAGAGAGAGAGAGAGAGAGAGAGAGAGAGATGTAATCTTAGCATTTTTATCAGCTTTGTAAATCATCCATCGGGAGTTAAGGGTAATAGCTTCACTATGTCGGAAAATTCTTTGTCACAAGATTTTCAAACTTTAAAAAAAAACCCAAAACAAAACAAAAAAAAAAAAAACTGCTCGTGATTACAAGGTACATATTTCAGTCATATTTAACGGTACATGATCAGAAGGACAAGATAGAAAATCTCCAAAGCAGTTTTTCAAAAAGCATCGTTTACTGACTTTCTATCAACTGGAGAATAGTTACTTGGTTTTGTTTTATTCAGTCAAAAATAGTCCCTGTAGTCTCTATATAGAGGAACAGTCTTCAAAACTGATATTAGCTCATCCAAAAATATTAACGATCATTTGATTTTAACTATTGACCGGCAAAGAGAGTTTTCCCACAATACTATGGATTTTGAATCTGATTAGTAGATCGATTATTGTGACGTAATGATACCGTCGCGACTTCCAAAAAACATAAAGACACAATTAAAAAAACAACAACAAGATAACAAAATAATGGCAATTTGAAGATTCGCTAGCACTACAATCAACGGACAGGATATAAACCAATGCTCAGTTTCAATGAATGAAATCAGAATGCTATTTAATTCATTTGTTTTTTTTTTATATTACAAAACAATTATTGGATGTGTTTTTGGGCAACATTGAATATAACAGAGTCTCAACTAATTTTTTATTTGTCTAAACTATTTTTTTATTCAAATATCATCTTTTCAAGGTTTGATTATTAATGGCTCATTCTTCAACTTACAAAAAACTGTCCTGAAGCACAAAATTGAAATGATGAAATTCAACTTTTCAAACTTGAGCAGAATGTAGCTGAATTGGTAAACAAATTTTCTGAAATTCCAGATCGAGAGGTTTTTACTGAAAATAGTTTTAAAATTTTCCATAGTTTTACCTGCATTGTTGTAATGCCATACAACTTGCACAACTATATGCATATGCAGATTATAAAGATTTCTTAATTCTTCAATGCAGGAATTTCATGACTACGTAGTGTGAATGCAGGCTTCATTTATGTTGAATTATCATGTTTGTCAATACAGGCATTGGCTGACTATACAGTCGGTCAATGCAGGCATTTAACGATGACACATTCAATCAATGCAGACATTAGCCAACAACTTAGATAGTCAATGTCTGCATTGGCCAACTACACAGTCAGTCAATGAAGGCATTTGCTGACTACACAGTCTGTCAATGCAGGCATTGGCCGACTAAACAGTCGGTCAATGAAAGCATTGGCCAACACCACAGTCAGCCAATGCAGGCATTGACTGACTGTGTAGTTGGCCAATGCAGACTACACAGTCAGCCAATGCAGGCATTGGCCAACACCACAGTCAGCCCATGCAGGCATTGGCCAACACCACAGTCAGCCAATGCAGGCATTGACTGACTGTGTAGTTGGCCAATGCAGACTACACAGTCAGCCAATGCAGGCATTGGCCAACACCACAGTCAGCCCATGCAGGCATTGGCCAACACCACAGTCAGCCAATGCAGGCATTGACCGACTACACAGTCAGTCCATACAGGCATTGGCCGACTACACAGTCAGTTAATGGAGGCATTGGCCAATACCACAGTCAGTCAATGCAGGCATTAGCCAACAGTACAGTCAGTCAATGCGGGCATTGGCCAACTCCATGTTATTTCAGAGGAGGCCTAAGTTGACCACTGTCTCTCAATGTAGAACTTGGCTGACTTTTACAAGCTTTTCTATCAAATATGGAATTGTGATCGTTAACAATTTTCACGTCATGGATAAGTAGAAAGATGAACAATTTCAGATTCATTTGAAATTAATAAGTTAATAATATGCAGCGAAGTAATTTTTAATACATTAAAGAATAATGGACACAAAAAATATCTTGTGAGTGAAACTTGATTTTTTTGATAGTATGATATAAATTCATTTCAGACATTAAAAGGATGCCAGCATGAAAATGATCCTAACTCTAAATGTCTGCACAGTACTGTATGTGCTTTGTACCTGATAAAAATTCACATCATTTCACTGCGGGGAACTTGGTGATATTCCAACATGAATGAAATATCTCCCAACAAACCGTACACAAATAATCAAATAAAACAGGAATATTAACTGGTAGTAAAAATGGTCGAAAATTTCCTGCAATATATAAACATACGGGTCATTTTAAAAGAGTTTTTGCTCCTCTGTCATTTTCTTTTCCTTCGGTCTGCATGTAAGTTAAAGCCTTTGTATACCTGAAAAAGAAAATGCAGTGTTGGTAAAGTTATCAAGAAAATTTGATCATAATTACTTTTTAAAAAAAATTATTTGCGATATTTTTTTTTTCAGATATATTCTGACGACCTTTTATTTTGACTATGTTTATGACTTGGAACAGTTGGATTAACAAGTACTGAGTAGTTTAAACTATTGTTTAAACTATAGATATTATTGGAACAGGGGTGGCATTTTTTTTTTCTAAGTTTAAGTTGGATTAATTATAAATATGTATTTTCAAACATTCAAAATTAAGAGAGAATATTTAAATCCAGGATGAACAGAGGCAGATTATTTATTTTCTCGCCAGTGTACATTATTAATTTTCATCATTTTTAAGGACAATTTATTTTTAAAATCTGCAAGATCCCCTCCCCCCTTTCCCCAGAATTAATGAAATGGCCGATCCCCAACATTCAAACACACACACACACACAAAAAAAAGAAAAAAGAAAGAAAGGAAGAAAAGAAAGAAATATATATTTTTAAAAAACTCTACCAGTGTTTTCTTCTGTGACTTCCACCAGCTCACTGTCTTCTGTATTTCACTGGTTTCTGGGAGTTCATCATCATTTTATAGGTACCGCCGCGCAGGTCGATTTCTATCTCTGTAACATTCATCATAAGGAAGAGATTTCGCATCAATTTCACATTTACCGTGACAAGCCTTGTGTCCTAAAAATAAAACAAAAAATATTTATAGCCTTTTCAATTCAATCTTGGTGAAGGTAAAACCTATTGAAATCACATTGTATTTAGGATTTTTTTTTTAAAAAAAATATCATAAACTATTTCACGGTGGTTCAGTCTTTTGAACGCCTCTGTATTAAAAGTGAAAGTAACATGCGTATGTTTTGATATTGTTTATATTTAAGTAAGTCAAAAGCAATTTTATTAATACTGGTTAATAAAAAGACGCAAGAAAAACTTACCCATGACGAACGCATACACTCAATCATTATAATCTGCTGATCGGAATAATGCTTGGCCTCGATGGATATACATGTACATGTACATACGGCCGTAGTACGTAAATGCATATATTCTTTCACTAAGATACACATAAATACAAGAAAATGAAATTCCGTCCTTTCTTTCGTTGTATTTAAACGGCCTTTACAACTACTAACGTTTCGCGGATTTTAGTTTCTGTTTGAACACGGTTGAATTCAATGTACGTGACGTCATAAAGGCACATTGTGTTGCTCTCAACAGTTATTTGAAGATTTATCATTCATGATGCACTCAAGTAACAAAGATGTGGGCGATTACAAAAAATTGGAATTATCATTATGCAGTGGAAAACAACACCCAGATGTGTTTATTTTTCTTGAAGCAAAGCTCTGTCCTCCATCTATACGTACAGTGTACGAAAGTCCAACCTAGTTCTAAGACCTCTTGATTGTAAGTAATACATGCATCTGAGTAAATGTGTATATAAATATACATGTATATTTTTATCAAAAAATGCTGTGAAAATGTAATAATACTAAAGAAAATCTCAATAAAAATAGAGAGAAATCACGCAACATTTATGGCGTCGCCAGGGATATATATGTCCTTCCCGCAGCGAACGGTAAAAGGATATAAATGTCCTTCCCGCAGCCAAAGGGTTAAATTAAAAATCTGCGCCAGAAGCATTTTAATAGGAATTAGCATATAGAGCATATTGCATCAAATTAAATGGTGGGACAAGATGACAAATTGTAATTATTTGATAGAAACAATGCCGAAAATGAGATTTACTTGAAACGATTTTGTGGAACGAACTCCAAATTTATTTTTCAGGTGAAGTACTGAGAACTGCACAGAAACATAAACATACAGTAAATGGAGAAGGAATCAGGAAGACAATGTTCTGACAATGCAATAAGATTGTGCAAAACTATTCTTTTTTAAAAATCTTACTTTAAAATTACATCGTTTCATTTCAGCTCAGATTTCTGCTTTTTCTTTTTTTAATATAAAAAATTAAAGTTAAAATTGTTGTTATATATTATCTTGCAAGTTGTCAATGAAAGTAAAATACGAGGGGAAAGGATCTTATAAGAACCTTCATCATTAAATGCTTTCTGGATGTCTGCATTAAAAACAAGGTCTGACAAGGACAATATATATTTTTGAAAGGAACAGATTACTTGGAAGAGTCTCCCAATGTCTGCAATGGACTTGAAGAGTGTCGCCCAATGCCTGCATTGGCTCTTCTGAGTCGCCCAATGCCTGCATTGGACTTTGAGATAGTCGTACAATGCCTGCATTGGCTCTTCTGAGAGTCGCAGAATGCCTGTATTGGACTTTGAGAGAGTCGTGCAATGGCTGCATTGGCTTTTATGAGAGTCGCCCAATGCCTGCATTGGCTCTTGTGAGAGAGTCTCCCAATGGCTGCATTGGACCTTGAGAGACTCCTCCATTGCCTGCATTGGACCCTGAGGGACTCTTCCAATGCCTGCATTGGACCTTGAGAAGTCACCTAATGTCTGCATTGGCTCTTATGAGAGAGTTGCCCAATGCCTGCATTGGACCTTGAGAGAGTCTCTCAATGCCTGCATTGGCTCTCATGAGAGTCACCCAATGCCCGCGTTGGACTTTGAGATAGTCGTACAATGCCCGCATTGACCCTTTAGAGAGTCAGGCAATGCCTGCATTGCCATTGAGTCTCAATGTCTGCATTGGTCCTTTAGAAAGTCATGCAATGACTGCATTGGCCAACGATGAACAAATTCCCTTGACAGATTGTCATGAATTTCTTGCATTGTCTTTACTATAAAAAAAAATTTCAAAATTTTTTAGACATTGGTGATTCTTAGCGGGAATTTACAAATAATATTTCATTTTCGTAACAATCGTCACTGCATTGCAAGTTTATTTATTTTCCAAGTGTTCAAATAGATTTTGTATTCCTTTAACGATAAAATGCATTAGTCTATTACATTTAGAACAATTTCAATTGCATATGTGATTAAGATAAAATTCAAATCAGAATAAGAAGAAAATTCCAAAAAATTGAATAAAGACATAAGCACTATTTCCGTAAAGACTTTTATCACATGAATTTGGAAATGGGCAAATTAAACCATAAAATGGATTTCGAGATACCTTTGTAATCATAAACAACTTTCTTCATAAATTCGTTAAATTACATTCACTCTGGTAGTAGAAGCCAATATTTCTTTCCACATTACCTAAAACATTGATCTTGAATTAAAAAAAAAAATAATTAAGACAAATAAATTTTAGTTGAGACTCCATTATACGTTAGCCTCCTCGGAACGAAAATATCGACTTCCACTCCGCGTCGGGCAATATTTCATCCCTTGGAGGCTAACATAATCAATGTTGCCCTCAACTCCAGTCAATATTTGTATAATATTATTCAGGAATAATTTTTTCAATTAACATAACAAATTAAGCTCACATATCAACAAATATAAGCTAATTTTTCCAATGATTTCTTGAGTAAATCTAAAACCCTGGATTTTGAAATATTTTCCAGATGTCTTTTTCATAGGATTATCACTTCTTAAATTATTGTGAAAAGTGATGAGAAAATATACCTTTCTCCATAAACTTATAAAACTTTATTTTTATTAGTACACTTCTGTTGAGCTTTTTGCACTTACACAAGATTTGCTGATCATATATAACCTTTTTTGGGTTATTTTCAGAATTACTGTGTAAATAGTTTTTTTTTTTTGAATTTTGAATTTGTTTTATGGAAATAGTACAATGTCATATATTTTTATGCATTAACCATCGAAAATGCACGAGAATAATTAATAATTGCTGGGAAAATGATTACACATCATTTCATAGTAGATATATATCAAACTGTATACACAATCTTTAAGCTGGTCTATAGCTTAGACTTTTATTATCAAGATATTGTACTGTTCTGTTGGACATTGAAGGTTTCATGGCAACCTGCTTCCCTTCAGAATAGTTTCTGTCCTTCACACTACAACGCATACGGTAAATTTATTACCATTAGTGCATTTTTTTTTCTTTTGGTCTATCTGTTCCTTTAAATTATTGATCTAATGATTATGCTAAATGAGTTAAAACAAACATTATGCAAAACATAATTGGTTTTACAAAACCATGATCATTTAAATTTTCTGCAAGACAACAAGTGGTATTTGTCATAAGTATTAGCATTTTGTTGCTGTATTTAAAGGTGTGCATATCAGACAAGGAAGTCTTAACATTCAAATATAATTGGACGTACCCTTTATCTTTCTTCAGGCATAAAATCGTATTATACTGACACTCTTCTAGACTATATGAAGGAAACTTAAGTTTTGAAAAACGAGTTTTCTTACAAGGTATGTGCATGAAATCTTAAAATATTTTAATGATAAAGTAGACCATTGATGGCTGACTGCATCAGTTAATGAAATACTTAATGAAATATCTACATCAACGTAATTAGTCGAGAAAATTCATACATTTAGTGAAAGGCACCGCTAAAATATATCCATAAATCAAATTCATTAAGAATACAATTAATGTGCTAGTTTTACACGATATCTTTTGTGAATTTCATATCGAAAGAGGTTACAACAGAGTACATAATTGATGCAAGCTTCAGATATTTTTATAAAGGCACACTATATGGGGTATATGCATTCTAACCAATAATGAAAAAAAATCTACTCACGAATGAAAAAAGATAGTAAAAAATGAATTTTCCTTTGACAGGGCTGGGGTTAATTACTTGAAAATATAATTAAATACTTTCAAATGTATTGAAAATTTTGTCAAATACTAACAAGTACGATTAAGAAAATTTTATATTTTTCAAAATATCTATGGTGAATGATTCATTTTATTTCATATTATAATAAAGAGAGAGTTTATGCATATATTCACCAAGAGATTTGTTTAAAAATTCAGATTACTTTTTACAGTATCTTAATAACACACGCGTTGCCCATAGACTTCAATGTTAACTTCAAGGTACAATTAATTGTACAATAATCAAAATTCGGTAAAATCCATTGGTGGGGTATTTTTGTTGATAACACCTTCAAAATGCTACTATGATTTAAAAATCGGAACATTCATTTATTACGTACAAAAAATGCTCGTTATACATTGAATACCTTAACTTTGGTTTAATTTCCAAAAATTTTGAAGACCAAATACAAATATAGGAGAAAGCAGCAATATTATTAAATTTTACCTTTCCTATTGCCCTGGGCAGTATTTTTATGCTTGATAAACATTATTAGGCATTTAATTATTGAAGGAACACAACGTATGCCAAACAGTACTGGTATACATCATTATAAAACTCCCTTTGATAATATTTGACTTAAAAATGAAGTATTTAAAATGTAATTCAAACGTAATTGAGAAATACATGAAATTTTAGGAATGTATTGAAATACAATCAGTTTCTTGTAACTGAAAGTAAACAAATTACAAATACTTTCAATTATATTGAAAAAATGTATTTAAATACAGTTAATCATAATTACTCATTTCAAGTACCCAATCCCTGTCCTTTGATATTTTAACAAAAGATAACCCCAAATTCCTGAGTTGAATGCTGATATAATACATTAGACAATCTTCAAATTAAAACTCTGATCCCCTTCTTTCTTTTTTCTTATCTGATTTTAATAAAATTGACTTAATATTACTATGTTCGTAAGAAAAATCCAAATACTCTGAAGTAAAAGGACCCAGATGTCAGAAAAGTACGATTGAGATAGAAGCCATATTAACTGAATAACCATATGTAAGCAAAAAATATATATTTTCTGTTTTTTATGAAAATATAGAAACCCTATTTAATAGAGACTGTAGTACAAAAAAAAAAAAAAAAAAAAAAAAATAGAGTTGCAATTTCATTTATTGCAATTTTTTTGTTCTTTTGTATACCGTCTTCCAAGAAAGACAGTATTAATTGTCAACTCTTCTCCAAAGTATGAATCACCTGAAGCATGACTGATTGTGTATATCCCCTTATTAATTATGCACATCTGGTCATTTTTGGAAATACAACCAATATTCAGCCTAGGAAATGTCTAGGAAATGTCCAGCTATTGCAACATTGTCAAATTTGGAATCGTTGCCAAGTGTGACTTTTTCAATTTAACATCATTTGTCATAAACATGTATCCAGCTTCCTGACATTGATGTCATGGAAACGTCGTATAACTTTAACTAGCATGGTAAAACCTTGTTATTTATTGTTACTGCTGAACTTATCCAAATATTTCTAAAACGGTAAGAAATATCATTATTTATTAAGTGCTAAAAATGAAATGCTGAAACATGGATATTTTTATGCTATGAATAGATAATGTATATGGCAGTTTTGTTAAATGTTTAATATTGATTTAATTGTTTCAGGTTAAACTGGATCGGATACATTAGTTCATGTCCAGTGTTTTTTAGCTCCTTAATTGAAGTATATATAAAATGTCAACCGTTTTAACCTTTCCAAACAAGGAAGTGTCTGCGGCTTTCTCCAGAGCCAACAGAGGATTCATGTTGAGTCTTTTGAAGCATTTTCCATCAGAATCCAACATCTTCTATTCGCCTTTTAGTATTTCTACAGCCCTCGCCATGGTTCATATGGGAGCAAAAGCAGACACTCGAAAAGAAATGAGTCGAGTCCTTCATTTTGAGGAAATGGACAAAACTTTCCATGCAGCATTTGGTTCTTATCTTGACTACTTGTCTAAAGACACTGGTGATTGCACACTTAAAACTGCAAATAGAATCTATCAAAGCATGAGATTCAAACCGGAGGAATCTTTCCTACAAAACTGCAACAAACATTTTAAAGCTTCAGTGGAGTCAGTGGATTTCTCTAAGTCTGCAGTAACAAGCAAGAAAATCAATTCCTGGGTTAGTCAGCAAACTGAAAATAAAATTCAAGATCTGATTCCAGCAAGTGCACTGAATGAACGTACATTCATGGTTCTTGTAAATGCCATCTACTTCAAAGGAAATTGGAACAGCAAATTTGAAAGCAAACACACACAAATAATGGAATTCCAAAACAACAAGGAGAAATTCATGACAGACATGATGTATCAAACCGATGATTTCAGATTCTGCCAAATGTGGGATCTAAGGCTTAGTGCCCTTGAGCTGCCATACGAAGGAAAGACCCTCAGCTTGCTAATTCTTTTACCCACAGCTGTAGATGGTATAGAGAGTCTGGAGAAAAGTTTGACTGAGTCTGTCCTCAAAACTGTAGTTAGCAACATGAGTGTACGGGAAGTTAATGTTTATCTTCCAAAATTTAAAATGAAGTCGAACTTCGAGTTGAAGTCTAATTTGTCTGCCATGGGTATGCCCTCAGCATTTGATATGGATAAAGCTGATTTTACAGGCATGGATAAAGATAAAAATGTGTATATTAATGCAGTTTTCCATAACGCTTTTGTTGAAGTCAATGAAGAAGGTACCGAAGCTGCCGCATCTACGGGTCCCGTTTCATCGATAGAATGTATTACACCGACGTTTCAGGCAAATCATCCTTTCCTTTTCTTTATCCGAGATTATGTTAATGACATAATTCTGTTTGCTGGAAGATTTTTTAAACCAAGTGGTGCATCTGCCCAAGAAGAAGTGTAGATGAAAATAGTACTATATTAAGGGAATTGTTGTTTATCAGGATAAAACCTCACAATGTTGATGCACAGTTTGTAGAACCTAGGCATACATTAAATACATTAAACAAGATCTTAAAATGTTTGGACAATAATTTTAACAAAAGAAAATACATTCAATTCCAGTGGTTTTCAAATAAATGCAATTTGTGGACTGTGATTGTAAATTTGTATCTTTGAATTGCTTTCATAAAAATAGGAATGAGAAGAGGGGGGGACGTTAATTATTACAAAAGCACACTAGCTTTTTTTCATGATCATGACTTGTAAATGTGGCATAAAATCAAGATTTTGAGACTGTGGTGTCCTATTGCGAAAAATATTTATGTCATATATTTTCTTCTGTATCACATCTGCTTTTGAAAATCCATAGCTGGTTATTTGCACTGTACGAGGGGTGATCAAAAAGTTCGCGAACAAATTGAATTACTTCTTTAAAAGAAATAAAATGAAGTTTCAGTGTTTATTATTTTTTTAAAGTAGTCCTTTTTGATTTTAATGCACATCTGCCATCGTTCTGCACATGCGCGAATCACGTGATCCAGGCAGTCACGTGACATGCTCCGAAGCAGTCTGTTCAGAGAAGCTAAAAGATTTTTCCGAGTCTTATATTTCTTGCCATGCAAGTTATTTTTTATAACAAAAACAGTCCATCTGTCAGAAATGGCCAAATCTCGGCAATAGGATGGGTAGATAAGAATATCCCTTCCCACAATTAGTATGGTGACCCAACACAACTCGAGTCCTCTGTCTCGGGAGAGTCGTTTTTCCAATGTGGATAGAGTATGGGCGCCTTCTTTTTATCATATCTCATATGTTTAAAGTCTAAAGTAAACGATATTTTAGAGATTTAATAACTATATTATTGTTAAGATATACAACCATTTTTCTAATTGTTACTTGACGATGTTTCATAACAAATTGCTCAACTAAGGACACATCTTTTCCCAGGCTTGCTTTCGCTGGGCAACAGAACAAACATCATTTTTAACCGTCTCCCTGTCTTTACTTAAACAATCAATCCAATTAATGATTGAACTTCTGGTAAGTCTTTTGTCTTCATAAACCTTGTACAAATTATCATATTCTACTGCAAAGGAATTTCCAAGATATACGATAAACTTTACAGCCGTTCGTTGCTCGAGTACGACTGAGTCAACCATTTTTTTGTCACAAGTGACCTACATATTGACGTCATTTTCACATTGTGACGTCACAAACACGGAGCAAAACATTATTTAACATATGTTGTTTATAGAACATGTGTATGACTATATGTGTGCCAAATTTCATTCTGATCTGAATTGTGGTTTTGTAAATATAGAGATAGTTCGCGAACTTTTTGATCACCCCTCGTACTTTGCCGTTGATGATATCGTTTTTTTTTTACTTCAAATATTGCAATTTTTCTTATTTTTAAAATTGAATTAATAAACCTTTACTTACCATAATACAATCTGGCCGAAAACGGTAATTATACCCATCTTTATATAAATTTTGTTTATTTAAAAAAGGAATGATGTATACATATGAAATATTTAACGTGTAACTACATGGCCATTCATAGGACTGTCCTTTGAGGTGCTGAAGATTTGAGGTAGCGGCATGACGTCACGAAATACGAAAAAGCTAATTCTGAACACCCTCAAAAGATTTTTCTTTGTTTTAGAGTGTTCAGTTTCACACTAACAACTTTGTTAATCAACAACATGGATCCGTTTTTTTGCATCTCGCTAGGGTACTATTCCTTTCATATATTTAATCTTAATACATTTCGATATATCGAAGACGTAGTATATATCAATTAACAATAGTTACTTTCATTCATATGTCGACTCCATATATCCTCGTGAGCTTGAAATAAAAGATACCACAGATTCTGACACATCTGTTTCATATTTAGATATTTTACTAGAAAAAGACGTTAATGTTAACCTTACAACAAAACTATATAATATATGTGATGACTCTAACTTTTCTATCGTCAACTTCCCTTACTTATGTATCAATATACCCTTATTACCTGCATAATGTGGTTTATGTCTCTCAGTTGATTCGATACACAAGAGCCTGCTCTCAGTAAGAACAATTTCTAAAACGAGGCAAGCTATTGACAGACAAGTTGACTAAACAACGATATCAACAGTCTCGTTTGCAGTCATCTTTTCGCAAGTTTTTCGGTCGATACAATGACCTTATCAGCACATACAGCCTATCATTGAGTCAAATGCTGACTGACATTTTTCATACTAATTATTAGGCCATTATTTATACACTGAACTGTCTACGGATTTTTCCGGTTGTTGTTTCCCGATCATGAAAAGGAGCACCCGGCGTTTGTGACGTGTCGGCAGTGAATGCTCACTCCTCCTTGGCACCTGGTCCCACCTCTAAATTTTCAGGTCCGTGTTTGCTCTGCTCCAAATTTGTATCGTTCATTGGACTTTCGAGATAGAATACTGTTCGTTATTTTCATATTTCAATTGAAGTTATTGCTTTCCTTTCTGTAATATGTGAACCCTCCTTGGAAATACATCGCTAAGATTTTTTTTTTCACATAAAACTTTCCTTTGAAATATCTCACTGCATCCTATGCAGTAACTTCTCTGAACTACCAAGATATGACGTCATATAAGGGAATAAATGACGTTTAAGGCACCACAAACTTGAGCTGTCATGACGCGGAGACAGTGTCATAAAGTTCACTTGTTATTTAATTTTTGTAATATTCAAGTGTTTTGACCGAAGACTTCAGCTTCAGTGTGTGTAATTATTATCGAATACTAAAACTTAACTTTGTTTTTTTTTTTTTTTTTTTTTTTTTAATTTTTTTATTATTTATTATTATTTATTATTATTATTATTTTTTTTTATTGAAACTAAACGTTTTCATAACAATATTGTAAAAATTTGACTTTGAATTGCACCTGGTTTTAAGACCATGGCTAGAGGTAGAAATCATATGTGTGTATATAACAGGTATATAACAAGTGTTTAATAAGGATTAACTTTATATTTTGTGAACATTCATAAAAGGAGAATGTTTTTTAAATGCATCTAGCTTGGGATAGGAATGTAATTGTTTTGCTTTTACTTAAACTATGGTTAAACTATGGTTAAAGACGTACATGTACAACACAGCGGGAGAGATAAGACTTGCAATTTCACTTAAACATTTAATGTGACGTCAAATTTGACGTTAATATGATGAGCGATACGTGTATTAAAAGTAGAAACAGAAAAATTAGATTAGGGGCTTGATTGTTATTTCTTTATGAGTACCAAATTCTATCATTGATTATTTTCTTTAATTAAATCCCTCCCATCTATGAAAAGAAAGAAACGAAAGATTACCCCTTAAATTTCTCTAATTTCATATTATGTAAATTGTATCCGTGTTCAAAGCATTTTTCCTCTGAAAATTTTTGTTACATTGGGTATTTTTCCCATTACAGTTTGCTACATAACATTCTGTTACATTATCTTGCTAATTTTGTTATAAGAGTTATCCCCCTTAGATATTGATTTTTTACATATACTTGGTTTGAGTATGCGCAACGATATTGCTATTTGCAATGGCGTGAAGTCACCTTTCAAAAATTAAATTTATCGCTTATATCTAATTATGAAGAACAAACCCGAGCAATTTTTTTTCACAACAAAGTACTTGTTCTGGTATTCGGACAATGTTGTAATATTTAAGCGTTCGTCATTATACTTTCTTTAAAATAAATAAATAATGAATATAATACCCAGTTATTTTTATTACGAAATGCACTTCTTTGTAAAACGGAAATCAACATAATTTAAATAAGTCATGTATCAAATTCTCGCCGTTGCTTTTTTCATTATATGAATTATTTAAGAAATGACTTCACGCCATATTGTTTGTAAATGTTTTTATAAGCAAGGTGACTTCAAATCAATGGCACCATACATGAAGACTGCAGTATAGTATCAAATTTTGCTATATATTCTTACCAAGAATGCGCAACTAAGAGTAGGAGGTCATAATTAAAACAAACTTTTGAGAGATTTCCTTTTAACATCATGTAAAATTATTCTTTATGAAGATTTTAGTACCAAAAAATACATAGCAATCCAGCAAGGCACGCAAGTTTATTTCGGTCGAAGTCGAGCTAGTGCTTGAAAATCAAATGCAGGACCTAATAACCCCACACGCAAACGCAGTATATAAAAAATAATCAGCACACCCTAAATTATAATGAGTCTGATCAAACCAGGAAGTTTACAGATAATTTTTCATCTCATAAAAAAATTCAGCTCAAGTATCATGCAAAAATGCCCGAACCGGGAGAGGAAATTCAGGAATTATTTTGCGTCAGCCATGTTTTGACGTGAACCTCAAATGAAATACACCTCAACTGAAATACGATAATGAAACCTGCATATCTAGCAAGGTGACTTCACGCCATTGCACGTTTATATGAATATCTAGGCAGGGGACTTGACGCCATTGCACATTTATATGCATATCTAGCAAGGGGACTTCACACCATGGCATTTAAATATGAATATCTAGCAAGGGGACTTCACGCCATTGCACGTTTATATGAATATCTAGGCAGGGGACTTCACGACATTGCACATTTATATGCATATCTAGCAAGGGGACTTCACACCATGGCATTTAAATATGAATATCTAGCAAGGGGACTTCACGCCATTGCACCTTTATATGAATATCTAGGCAGGGGACTTCACGCCATTGCACATTTATATGCATATCTAGCAAGGGGACTTCACACCATGGCATTTAAATATGAATATCTAGCAAGGGGACTTCACGCCATTGCACCTTTATATGAATATCTAGGCAGGGGACTTCACGCCATTGCACATTTATAAGCATATCTAGCAAGGGGACTTCACACCATAGCATTTAAATATGAATATCTAGCAAGGGGACTTCACGCCATTGCACCTTTATATGAATATCTAGCA